ATCATTTTGCATCCATTCTGTGGGTGGTAGACTAGTGTCGTCAGCGTGCCCAAAGCTCCAGATGTGTCTGTCTTGGCTGGCACTAGTTGCGTGTTAGTGGCCCTTCGGTCCACAGCTGCTATATGCCATCCGGTGTTATTCATTGTTTCCGAATCCTTATTACACTGGCTTTCCAAACATCAGAGCATTTTTCTGCTCACAAAGAACAGCTGGATGCCCCTAACTTGTGATGTAGTAAAGTGTAGTCATGTAGAGTTCCTGAAATAATTTAAAAGAATAAAAGATTTAGGTGTCATTGCATGTGCTTTTAATTAAATTCAGCAAAAAACAGAGGTTTGGGTGCAAACTGACCATATTCTGGCTCTGGCTTTCAGAGCAAAGAGGAAATCAATAAAATGATTTTCTAAGGAAGTGGCCTTGCATTGGGTTAGTTGTTGTCCTGAAAGGAGACAAGATGGGGAACAAAATAACAAATAATTGTAATTACTGTAATATACATTTCCACACTGCCTTTTCAATTTGAACAATTACAAATCCTCTGTGATCTTTTGCTTTAATCCAAACCTTTTGAAGATGTGCTTTGAGGATCGCTGACTTTCAGCCGGCACTAGCTTGAGTTGGTGAGGGACGGGAGAAGGCAGTGTTGTGGCGGCCAGTACTTTATGTAATCCAGAAACGTACATCAAACCATTTAGTGAGTGAGGTTGTGTCTGAACATTAACAGCAAAGTCATGACATGTTTAAAATGGTCCTTAATGTTAAAAACCCATCAGTGAAAAGCTCAGTTTGAAAAAAGTTGCAATAAATGAGCTGAGTAACTCTCAGGTGCCTCCCTGTTGTTATAATTCTACAATTCTTAGAATGGAGTTTTTAAAACATTGGCATCTGTAAATTCAGTATATTTCAGTATAAACTTGATGGGAACATGAGGGACGAAATTTAACAAAAAGCTAAACCAAATTTTAATTTGGAGATCACTCACTTTACATTTCACAGAACTAAATCGGTTAGAAAACACATTGAAACCATTTTTGATTTATATCTGCTTGCCCTGTGCCTTGCAGAAATATGAATCCTTCTTTGACATTTTTTATATATTACATTCCAATTTATACTCTAATGGGATTTTGATGTGACATATAACCATAAGCAAAAGCATATTACGTTAAATGAACAAAAAGGTAGACATGGCTTTAAAATAATTTTATTATTATGGCATTTAAACTATTGTGTTCATATATATCTACATCTTCAACTAGTTTTAAATCGATATATAATCACTAAATTTATGAAAATATCTTATGAAGGTTGAAAGGTTGCTTACTGTTGGTTTAAAATATGTATCATATCTGTGACGCCACTGTCTCACTGGCTTTCTGACCAGACAAGCTGACAGAAATTTGAACAAGGCTGGAAAACTCAAGGTGGATGGGCTGGCAGTGTTTGTGAACGACAAATATTAAAATACTGAATCTGTTTCTGTGAAATTTCGCCTCTGCGGCCCTGATGTTGAACTGATGAATGTTGGTTTTCATGCATTTTATTTACCCAGGGAGTACACAGATGTTGTTTCAGCAACTGTTTACATTCCAGCCTTTGCTGCTGCTGACACTGTGAGTGAGGCATTATCACTTGTTGTTTCTAGGTTACACACAACAACAAAAAAAGCATTTGTGGAAATAAAAGACTTCAATCACACCCTACTCTCTGCTACCTTTCCAATGTTCCAACAGTTTGTCAGCTGCTGTACCAGAAAAAACAAAACTTTGGACTTATTCTAGGCTAAAGTAAATGCACTATACATCTATACAATAGCACTTGCATTTTACAAAACTGCAATGGAAACACTTTTTTTCACATCACATCACAAGTGATCCGAAGGAGGAGGAGATTGGAAGTAGTTGGATGATAATGGTGCCCTCTAGATCCATGGCTGAAATTGTATATTTAATGTGTTTATAGCCACTCTTGTTGTTTTCAGTTATTGCATAAACAACTGTATTCATGTGCAATTCTAATTGTATTCTATTATGCTGCACACATTTGTAATGGAAAAAACTGCTAGTAAGGCCCTATCTTTGGAAATCTAAGAATGAAAGTGTGGTTACGGGAAGCTGAAGAAACCCTGCAAGGTTGTTTTGAGGCTACACACTGGGATGCAAAGCATTAACCTCAATAAGAGAACATTAAAGCATGAATTGAGTGTGTTACTCATCACATAAGCTTATTTCTACATAACATTAGAACAGAGACATGCTTCCCAAATAATAAACCAGTATCCTTCAAATCACCAGCGATCTAAAGAAACTGCTCAACAAAGGAAAAAAAGAGCCTTCTGGAAGGTAGACATGGAATGATTGAGTATACAGAAACAACCTAAGGTCAAGATAAAAGAAAGTAAGAGGGCAAACAGGAAGAAGCTGGAAAGGAAGTTGCAGTGGTAAAAAATGTGTGGTCAGGGCTGAAGGAGGTCACAGGCTTCAAGCAGAAGGAGAATCAGACATATTAAAGTCTGGGCAGGGCCAATGAACTACTACCATTATTCAATAGGATTAGTTTGGGAACAACCTCAACATCCATCTCTCCTACCAACCACAGTCAAACTGATATCCCGCCATCCTTTGACTCCAGGCTTCCCTCTCAAACCTCAAATATGACATTTTACACCTCTGTCATTGACCCTCCAGATGGTGTCAGCGCCAGAGTCCTGAAGACCTGTGTAGAGAAGCTCCGTAGGATTCTACAAAACTTATTCAACCTTAGGAAAGTTTTAGCAAAGACAGCCCTAATATCTATATAACAGTGGCGAGAGGTGTAAACAAGCTGCAACACATAAATGTGCTGCAAACACAAACAATACCCAAAAACAAGTTAAGAAAAATACTCATATTGAACCGGAACCTCAGTATAACATAAACAGGATGATAATATTAAGACAGATAAAGTGCTTAAAAAGGCTTCAGGGAAATGTACCTTTTTTTTTTCTTTCCTCCAAATGTACCGTACACAGACATTACCATTGTCATACAGAGAGAAAGTTACAGCATTTTTTCAATTAACAGACACACGGTCGCAAAGCTCTTATAGTCCTTAGTAGTTCCAAACATCCGAGCACTATTGGTCAGTTTAAGTGGCTTCTGGCAGGACAAATCATAAAAAAATAATATATATTTATATCTACTCCCACTAGGTAC